CTTGTAAAAATCTTGTAAGTATCTACTACATTGATCCAAGAGCAATATGCTTTCAACAAAATCGAGCACTAGTTAAAGTAAGGTCAAGATCGTCACCAACGCGGATTGGTTTGTCATCTAGCCAAAAAGAAGATCAACACAAGATAAAAATCAACTAGTAGTCTGACAAATACTAATACTAACAAGCCAGATTTTGGAGTACAAACATTTCCAACAAATTTGGTTCACTAACTCTCCAACAACCATCTTGGTAAGAACATTCACAACATATCAACCAAAGTAAATTCAAAGTACTATTTTATTAATGTAATATTTTCTTTACTGTTCCCTCAATATACAAAAAGATGGGAAAGGTTAACAAGTGTCTACATCCCATGCTCTTCGTGCAACAATGTGGAAAGATGTGCACGCAGTTCCCATATATGATGCAAAAAAATCACATCCCCCCCCCAAAACATTTTTCCAATTTTGAAATCTATCTATTATAAATGCTTGTTGACCATAGTATCAAGGCCAAGAAGGCTTGTTAAACAGAAAACATGCGAAACAAAATACGACATTTGAAGTATTTGAATATTCAAGTCAAGGATATAACCTAAACCAAGATGCTTGAAAGCTCCATTTATGAGATTCAGGTCCATACTTGGGAATATAAAAAGTATTAGTTGAAGGGGACCAAGATTCATATAAGCTTATCAAACTGTATCACGTTGATTAACATGATAAATCATATATTTGACGACGCAAACCGGGATCTCATTCTAGTGATTTAAGACCAATATCATTATTTTCCAATTGAACCTTTTTGCCAAGGTTCTCAGTAAATGGGATACTAGATGTAGGAGTGTTCTCAGTATTTGCCATCTCTTTGATATCTTGAGAAGAACTTGTATATTTTCTTTTAAAAAACCCATGTATATTAAATTGCTTTTTCATGTTGATCTACATTTTATTTCTAAGAATAAGTGTTAAAAAAAATTCACACTGCACAAATAAATATATTGAAAACTTAAAGTTAACAATTAATGTACTTTGTGTTTTTTGTGTTTATGGGTCCACCATATTTGGTGTTTTTTTTGGTATGAAGGTTGGAGTTGCTCTTAGGGCATAAGTTTATAGTCTGCTAGTATGTCACAACTTACAAATCTGGTGTTTGATGAACCTTATTATTACTTCAATGTGCAAATTAGGCACAACTAAACACAGGAAATAAACCAATGAATGAATAAATTAGATAATTAAATATAAAAATCAACAAAAACATAATCAAAGATAAGAGTTAGACTTACCAACGGGTAACGACGTTCTTACTTATGATGTATAGCGAGTAATCAGTGGAGGTTTGGGATTGGTTATATGTCAACTAGGGTGAGAAGTGAGGTCTTTGGTAGATGCAAGGGTTGTAGGGTTTCGTTGTTTGAACGAAATAAACAAAAAAACTGAATGGGGAAGAGGGGAGATGGTGAAAAGCGTAAGAAGAGATTTGAACCCATTGATCACTTTTAATCTCATGCCCACTTATGAATTGCACCTTTAGAAGGAAATCAATCTGGTGCATCTTGATACACCTTATAATATTGATATTTAATTAGGATTGATTTAAATGTAGAAATCTATTTTTACGTTTCTAATCATAACTTCTCTTCATATTGAAATCAATCTAATTAGATTATTGGAATTGGGCTTTTAAATAATTAGTGCCTATAAGTTAGTGGACTTAATTAATAATTGGGCTAGACTCTCTAAACAAATAGTTAGTGAAGGGGCTCATCTAACAAAATTAATAAACTAAACTTTTAACTTGGAGAATATCACTTAGCACCAAAAAGACCCCCACTGTAATACATTTGATAAAATAATTTATATGTGATAATAATATATATTCTTGTTAATTACACGGGATTATATATATTTACAAATATTATCACATGTGATAGTTAGTCATTTATATTCAAATGTATTTTATCAAATGTGATATGTACAAAAATTAACTTAGTGATATATCACACGTGTGATTCAAAACGTGGATCAAAAAGTTGGAGAAAAATTGATGAAAAAGATTATGAATTAGTCGTAGATATCACATGTGATATTTGATAAAAACTTTGATTTTTCTTCTATCAAAATATATCTAGAAAAAAAGGTTATATAAAACTTTATAAAATAATTATGATATTATTAAATTAATTAATAAATAAATCTAATTAGATTTTTAAAGATTTATCCGGTTCAAAATGATAATTATCCTAATTTATAAAAAAAATTATGTTATTTTTTTAATTAATAGATTATGTGGCCCTCTTTCTCGCCTTCTCATAAATTAGTTAGGGGCCGTTTACTAAACAATTGATTGGTAAATACTTACCGGATAAATTTCCTCATCGGATGAATATGAGAAAGGTCAAGAATCTTACCGGGTAAGAGCGATGAGAATGATGGAGAGACTTACCCGGTAAGTGAGGACGACGACTCTTACCCAGGTAAGCATTTGCCCACTAAATTGTTGCATTCGATATGTTTTAATACACTAAAATCTTACGCATCAAAATAAATCATAGTGTTAACTCTTACCGATAAGCGTTTACCGGATAAGCAATTGGATAAAACGACCCTTAGTTTCTTGCATTATCCTCCTCTCTCTCTCTCTCTCTCTCTCTTTCTCTCTCTCTCTCTCTCTCTCTATATATATATATATATAATTTTATAAATAATATATAATTAATTTTCCTAATAAAGAAAATCAGGAGATTAACGACGTGATGGAATAAGCAACATCTTCCTACGTCAGTGACTACATATGCAATTTTACGTTACTATTTAACCACAATTCATATTTGACCATTTCTTTCTTGGTTGAAAGTTATATATTTGATTTTCAACCCATCAAATTTGTAAAAAAAAAAATGAGTTTATTTATATAACAATCCACCTGTTTGGATTAAAAAATAGATTTATGAACTTCTTTTAAACTTAAAATCGTAAGATATAAATAATTTATACTATGATTTAATTCAAATAAAGATTTTAGGTAAGCTTAACAAGGATATAAGGAGTTTAAGTGAGATACTTTGTAAGAACATCTTCAACAGATTCTTTTAAAATGGAGAAATAAAAAGTCAAAATCTATAAAAAAGAGTAACATTTATCTTCAATAAATTCTCTATTTTGAAGATCATGTAATTAATTATATTATTAAAATATACAACTCATAAAATATTATTTCTTTCTCTTAAACATTTAAATTCATACAATCTCGTTAGAATGAATAAAAAAAATCATTTCTCTAGATCTCATTAGTAATCATTTTTGGAGAAATCTCCAACTACTTTCTCCATTTTGGAGAAGGTTTTGAAGGATCTGCTAAAACAAGATTAAATCTTCAAAATCTTCATTTTGAAGAACTAGAATGGTACTCGCACAATGCAGCAAGATATACATCTCGATTTTAATATTTCATTTTATTCATTTTCTCTATCGATATTATACGGCTTTATGTGGTTTGAGAAAATTTTAATGTTCTTATTTTTGAAACTAATAAAATTTTAAAAGAATATATATCGATATTAATATCAAATTAACTATTTAAAAGTTCTTCTTCTTTGTATAATTTCTTTAATTCTTTTTTTTTGTTATAATTTAATTTAGGTATGATAACAAAGTATTTTTTTTTGTTTAATAATATAATTTTTTACAAAGATAATAATTAGGTATTCTTTTAAAAATCAATTACTATCCTAATTATATTTTAGATTTTTTATATTTAAAATGAGATGTTTATCATATATTTGATTATGCTTATTTGTAGTTAGTTGAGATTTAAAAATGAAGTTTTGATAAGTTGTACTTACACATAATTTACTTGTAATGCTGAATTTTAAGTAATGTGCATAAACAAACAATATTTTATGTATAAAAAATGAATTTTAAGAGTTTCTATTAAATATTTTATAATATACTAAAAGGGTCTTCGCGCAATGCAGCGAGATACATCTTGATTTTAATGTTTTATTTTATTTTGTCAACGTCGATGTTATAATACGATTTTATGTGGTACTAAAAAACGATAATGTTTTAATTTTTTGAATCAAAATAATTTTGAAGGTATAATAAAATTTTGAAAAAAAATGTATCGATTTTAGTATAAAGTTAAATATTTAAAAGTTCTTTTTTGTGTAATTTATTTAATTCAATTTTTTATTATAATTGAATTTAGATTTAATAATAAAGTCATTTATTTTTCGTTTAATAATATAATTTTGTATAAAAATAATATATAATTAGTATTTTGTTAGAATTAAAAGATTATTTTAATTATATTTTAGATTATTTATATTTAAAATTAGATACTTATCCAATATTTGATTATGTTTATCTGCAGTTAGTTACACGAATTCAGACATGAAGCTTTAATAAGTTGTACATACGCACAATTTACTTGTAATCTTGAATTTTAAGTAATATGCATTAATAAACAATACTTAATACATGTATAGTATAGATGTATTGAAATGCTCAAATAACCGTTTATTAGGGGTTGTTTGGCAATTGCTGAATAGTTTAATGCAGAATGATTAAGAGGTTCTTATGATTTAGTGTAAAATAAAATATAATTGTTTGGTAATCGTGTACAATGAAATTTGGGCTCTTAATGGTTAAGGGAGATCCAGGATACAAAATCATTTAGAGAGTTTTAAAACCATTAAGAGATATACCTTTTTTTACCAAGCAAGATTTATCTTTTAACGATTTAGATGTTATCTCTTAATGAAACTATTAAGAATACAAAATCGTAGATTAACTAAATAGATGCTCCAATTATTATGTTAGCCAAATTACCATCCTTCTTTGACTACTCTAAGTAAAAGATCTACTATTTTGTAGTCTATGAAACGTGCACGTCTTTCTAATTTTGCAGCCCAACTCTTATATATACACACTAGGGTTTAACACACTTCCCCATGAATTCACAGTTAATTAACACAAACGCCTTCTAGTGATCAATGGCTTCAAAACAAGACCTTCTGCATGTATTTATTGTTACTTTTCCATCGCAAGGCCATGTCAATCCACTCCTCAGACTCGGAAAGCTTCTGGCTTCAAAGGGTAAGCTTCTCGTCACCTTCTCCTCCAGCAAATCTATCGGAAAAAAGATGAAGGAAGCTGGTGCAGCCCTCTCCGGTGAACCCACTCCGGTGGGCGTCAGCGGCGGTGGTCTGATCCGGTTTGAGTTCTTTGACGATGGATGTTCTGAAGACAATGATGACGAACGCTTTGACCTAGAAACATATTTGCCTAAGCTTGAGGCTTTTGGCAAGAAAGCACTCACCGGCATCCTCAACCACCATGCACGAGAAGGCCGACCAGTATCGTGCCTAATCAACAACCCCTATGTGCCGTGGGTTTGTGACCTGGCGGAAGACCTTAACATCCCTTCTGCAATGCTTTGGGTGCAGTCTTGTGCTTGCTTTTCTTCCTATTATCATTACGAAAATCGATTGGTTCCTTTTCCGAGTGAAGAACAACCAGATATCGACGTTCAGTTGCCGAACATGCCGTTGTTGAAATCCGATGAGATTCCAAGCTTTCTACACCCTTTTACACAGTATTCGTTCTTGAGAAGAGCCCTTTTAGCGCAGTTCAAGAACTTGTCGAAGACGTTTTGTGTATACATGGAAACATTTCAAGAACTTGAGGATGATCTGATCAAGTACATGTCTCAAGTATGCCGGATCCGAGAAGTGGGTCCGTTGTTCAAAAACCCAGTACTCGAAACCAGCTCTAATATCTCAGGCGACCTGATAAAAGCCGACGACTGCTTAGGGTGGCTCGACTCAAAGGACCCTTCATCGGTGGTTTATATATCATTCGGGAGTGTTGTCAGCTTGAACCAAGAACAAGTGACTGAGATGGCTTATGGGGTTCTAAATTCTGGTGTGTCGTTTTTGTGGGTGATGAGGAAGGGTGAGAGTTTTAATGGGGTGAAATCTGGCAGGTTGCCGGAGGGGTTCTTGGAGGCGGCAGGTGATCGGGGCATGGTGGTCCACTGGAGCCCGCAAGCTCAGGTTCTGTCTCACCCGGCGGTATCTTGTTTTGTCACTCACTGTGGGTGGAACTCGACGATGGAGGCTTTATCGAGTGGTGTTCCGGTGGTGGGTTTCCCGCAGTTGGGGGATCAAGTGACGAATGCCAAGTACTTGGCGGAGGAGTGGAAGGTCGGAATTAGGTTATGTAGGGGTGAGAGTGAGAATAGGGTGATCGGGAGGAAAGAGGTGGAGGAGTGCTTAAGGGAGGCTACTTGCAGTGTAAAGGCCGTGAAGATGAAGGAAAATGCATTGAAATGGAAGAAAGCGGCGGAAGAGGCGGTGGCGGACGGTGGAACGTCGGACCGGAATCTTCGAGAGTTCGTGGATGATGTTAGAAGGTTAAGTGCGGATAAGTTACGTGTTGAATTAATAAACGTTAATTCCACATAAAAAATTAAAACAAAAAATAGAAGTTGTATCTTTGAAATAAATTGTATTATTCACATGTTACTAAATTTATATGAATAAGAAGATCGAGGCATAAAATTAATTTATTATATGGATTTTTTTTTTCAATTTTTTAGTGGATTAATGTTTTCTTTTCCAACATTTAGAAATGTCTTATAATCATAACGGTGATGTCTGATTGATTTGAGCTTGGCTTCAAAGATCAAAAGTATCATGAGGTTTCATGTTCAAATCCAAGGAGAAATAAAAATCCCCTTGTGGCCACGGAGGTTCAAATGCAGTGACTTCGGGCTATCTGCAAAGCAGGTGGTCGCCCTGAGATTAGTCGGTTCGCATAGCGGGTTGGATATTCAGATTAATAAAAAAAAATGTCTTGTATATAATTATATTTCATTGATATTGGATGTAAATAAAATGGTGTCATTTCATTTTACTAATTGCAAACGACTCAAAATAGAAAAATAACCAATTTTATTTTACAAATCACACATATGACTCGAAGTAAATACAAAGAATTAATGAATGTTGAATTCTAGAAATAGAACGAGTTTACTAACAATAAACTCATATAAAAAAGATGAATTACGTAATACTCCAACAAACCTAATACCAAAAGTACCCCTACAATGTAATACTCCCGCTCAAGATGAGCAGGAGGAATTCAACATGTCATCTTCGACACAAAAAACATGAATTGAGATTGTCACAAAAGTTTAGTCAGAACATCTGCTAATTGCAAAGCAGATTCAACAAGCATTAAACGAACTATCTTGTCTGCTATTTTTTGTTGAAGAAAGTGATAATCAATATCGATATGCTTGGTTCTTCATGCAAGCTTGGGTTACGAGAGAGCTCTACACTTTGAGAAACTCTCTTTGTACCCCACTAAGGGATATGGATTCATATATTTATAGAAAAATATTTATAATTAAATAATACCTATTTAACTAGGATTTTGGATTCCTAATTATATTGCAAGTATATCACTTATTACCCCCTCAAGCAAACGACGGTTATTGATGTAGCAATTCAGTAGCATGAAATAAAAATTTCAATCCTGCCCAAAAAGTCTACATCAGTCTACTATAGAGTGAAAAACAGGTAAATCATTTAATCTAACTCTATAAAAAAAAGGGGGGGGGGGAAATAAAGAAATAAAATGATTCAAAAATAAAATTATTATTGTTTTTTTAAAAACACATAAAATTGTATTATAACATCGACATAGACAAATAATAAAATAAAATATTAAAATCGAGATATATCTCGTTGCATTGTACGAATACTCTTCTAGTATATATATTGATGGAAGTTTTATTATTTATGAAACAAAAAAGCATATAACTTTCACTTTTATGTAATATACAAAAAGACATTTTTTTAAATATTATATTTATTTTTTGATAACTAAATATATGAATAATAATGTAAAAATATTTA